TCCTTAAAATCCACCACAATGCTTTGCGAACCGCGACCAATTTCCAAAAACCCTTTGCGGAGAATGGCTGAACCGACGCAGGCACACATTAAATGTAAAGTATGTAGTGGGCGTAGAACAATGGTGTTTGGTAAAATATGTTACTTGTTGCCATTTGTTATCCACCAAAAACTGTGCGTTCGTGAAAGTAAAGAAGTTCATAGTATAGATTAGAAATAGTGAGGTATTTATTTTTCCAAGATACAGTGTATGTCTTGGAAGTTAGCAGAAGTGGGACAATTTGGATGTAAGCCTGCGTTCCATTTCTCTCTTTGTTTGTCCGAAGCCCGTGGACTCTGGAAAGCATTACTTGCCCTTCGTTCTGATGGGAAGTGGACTTTGAAGTACCGCGACTACCCAAGCCAGCATCCTCCGAGATTGAGAAACGGCCAGGCTGTAATGACAGTTTAAGCATGTTAATGTTCCTTTGGATCACGGAGGGGTGCACATCAGTTTTTACATTTCCAGGTTGTGTAAGCTCCTTAAGGTCCAATCAAGCCTATCAGAGCCAAGCTGAGGTTTTACTGAACCCCTGGAAAAAAGGAATCCTCCCTTAGATGTCCCTTAATGAGTTGTTTAAAGAGTTTAAGGATAAGAGGGACAATGTGTGATACTGTAACAAGAACTCCAGGAAGCTCACTTATCTCACAATTTTCAGTTCCCGAGTACTAAAAAATGGCATACGAAAATCTGTTCCCCAAAAAAGTTCACAGCCTATAATTGAGAATAAATGGGCTTGCTCTTTTATAAAATGGTACCTTTTTGGCCCTCCGGTCATGTTTATTTTCATTCTACTAATAAGGAGTGGGTTTGACTATAAATCACACAACAGATTAAGGTTGTTTTCTATTTGCAATTGTCGTTTTCCTTTGAGGATGACTAAACTTACACTGGTTTAAATGTCTGCCCCAGCAAAACGTGAAAACTCACTTGGTGCAATGCGTCCGGTGGCACGGTTTCTCCTCAGACAGAACCCAGCCCTGCTACCGCGGGTTGATGATATCTTTTGCCTCGTAAGTCATTGGACCTTTTTTTCTATCGTGCCAGAACCTTTATTCTCTTCCAGCGAGGGGAGCCATCAGTGGTTCCCCTTAAAGCTCCAAGAGACACATCTGCAACAAATTACCAAGTTCTTTTGTCCACGTTGCTCGGAATTCACCCTCCATTTCCTGATACTACCTGCGAGCAGCGTCTGAAAGATTGGATACGTCTGGTTGCAAAACTAGGGCAGGGAAAATATGGGACAAGGCCTCCTCATGAAAGACACGTCTTGGGTAAAGAGAGGGAGGAGAGGATGGCTACCAATTTTACATAAAACAAACACCAACTATTCCCTGCTATCACGATTCAAACATCTGCCAGACATTTGTTCTCGTTGCTTGAGATGTGACGTTTTGAGCTGTTTAAGCATGCAGCCAACGCTTTAGATTTTAACACGAGATGAGTTATCATTAGTACATTCTGCATATGATATTAAAATCATATCTGCAGACTTCCAGCTGCTTTAAATGTCAAAATGAGGTTTGCCTAAAATTAAGCTGCAAGAGTAATCAAGTAAACTAAGTATTTATTTTCTTCTCCCAGTTTCTGATTTGTTTTTCTCTCTATTAGTGGCTCATTTGCATGTTAATTATTCCCATTTTCATGCGTCATCATTATGATCTCATCACGAGTGAAAACAGGGGCACACACATCTCAGAACAACATCCCAAGAGCAAGACTACATCCTCTGCTGATCTCCTTTACAGCTTTTTTTCACTCTTCCATCCCATTTGCCAAAACTCAGCCCAACAAACCTCAGGTTCATCTCAGCTCAAAACCTCTATGACCAGGAAACAGACAATTCACAAGATATGTTTCTCCTCTTTCATATATACTCAGGCTTCCATTACTGTTAGCGCAGCCCACACACGAACAGACACAGACACACACACCACACAGACACACACACACACACACCACACCACACACAACCACACACACCACACCACTCACACACACACACACACACACACCACACACAACACACACACACACACACACACACACACACACACACACACACACAGAGTCTGGTGGACTACGTGGCATTTTTCTGCACATACACTGTACCACTCTAAAAGCAGGGAGGAGGAGCGCTGTGTCAGGTCACAGCCCAGAAAAACTCTTACCATTGTGCAATAAATCAATGCATAATACTATTTTTTTTCAAACTTGTTTTTGCCCCAATATGTCTGGCCGTATCCCAAACCACAGAGAGCTGAAGGGAAAACCTGCCTGTTAAACCAGTGATAAAAATAAATTGTTCTGTGTCTTTCTATTTGGAGAGATAATACCAGACTACAACAGTGAAAGGGCTTAAGACATTAATTCACATTAGAAGTCATTGTTGTTTTCTGTGGAAGCCTAAAAACCTCCACTTTTCACTGAATAGGAATGTTGATGCCTTTGGTAGACGTTAAAATGTTCAGCGGACAATGTGAAACAATGAGATTTTAAACCTTTAAACTGAAATGTTGACACCTGGCGGCAGGCTGTGAACACACCTGAAAGCCATAGAATTAGCTTAAGCAAACAGATTGAAAAGCAGCGGAAAAGAGCTACGCTTAGCTCCATCAGAAGCTTCAACAGTTAAGAAAGGAATGGAGCATTTCTATTTCTTAATTGTAATTAGAAATAGAGACATCCCTATAAAAAAGGCTTTACTTGTGGTCTGCCTCAGTAGTAAGCCAATAGAGTTGCTTCAAAGCAGCATTATTGCCAAAAAACAGGGAGTCTGGTAATCCACAATAGTGTTGTGAAAGGAAAGACAACCTGAATCAACTAGTTTTCCGCCCTGCTCTACGAGGCAAAAAAGGCAACATCATTACAAGAATGTCTGTTAATGTTTTACTCTGACAATATAGTAATGCTTATTTTGACATGAATCTAAGAGTACACATTCCAGTATCGTGCAATAGCGTTGGCTTTCTAGCACGTCATCTACTTTTGCTAAGCTAATTTGGCTGCTAAGCTGTAGCAATCATATTTTAAAAGATCGACAATAGAGCAGGCATCAATCATCTTATATCTAACTGTTTGGCAGACAAGCAAATCATTACTATTTCCCCACATTGTACAACATTTCCTTCAAATACAGAAGCTCACTGGTTAAAACGGTCACCTCTTCAGAGTAAAAGCTGTATTGTATTGTTGCAAGTTCAACTCCAGTTTCCTCACCCATGCTCCAGTGCCGCTCAGGCGGGCTGGAGTAAACTAACCTCCAGCTGTAAAAATGTTAGTGTCCTTCTTCCTCCCATATGCAAGTTCAAAGTGGGTGAAGATCCGCGGCCACAAGTGAACCTTAATTACTTTAACACGGGTTATATAAAGGTGAAAACAATAATTAGCGAGTAAAGTGATGTAAACAAAGTGGAAGAATGTGACATTAGTACGAAGGTTTTCACAATACAAAAGAGACTGAGCGAAAACTATTCTTTGTGCCAAATTGTCTCTTGACTTCAACTTTGTGACTGGATGTAGGAAAGGTGCTTGAGAATGAACTATGAGAGAGAAATAGAAACAACTGTGACTTTGATGGATATAGGCTACTATTTTTCAGATGCACTGCTCTTAAGTCCTGGCTGTCAGAATGAAGTGGTTATGTCACCACATGAATCAGACGTTTATTTTGCGATGGCTCCCTCTGGAGGACGGTTATGGCTAGAAACAGAGCCCTAGAGAGATCTCTCTAGGGCTCTGGCTAGAAAGGATCCGTCTTGTGTAAAACTCTCGCGAGAGTTTGGCGGAATGTCACATGGCTGAATGTTTACGTTTGGCAGGCAGCCTTTCAGTTACGATCGTTAACATCAGTGGGCCACAGCAACTGATGATGAGAAGCTAAACTATCTATTAATTATGTCAATTACAGGGAGTGTGATTGTTGAAATAGGGTGTTAGCGGTATTGCTGGTGTTCAAAGAAGAATGACAATACTGTAGATCACCAACACTATGGTTTATTTTTTATTCACAGGCAAGTCAACGTTGTCGCAGTAAAAGTCCCAAGATAGCTCCTGGTGCAATAAAATGTTCCCTTGCAGTGTTTTACTATTATGTCTGATGTTTCTCTATTAATATTGCTGCTGCATGCATGTGTATGTTGCATGATGTTACTGCTGTAGATGTGTTTCCGAGCCGCTCCGATTACAACGAGAGTTCAAACGAGAACGTGACGTCATATTTACACTAGACGGATCCTTTCTAGCCATAACCTGCCATAACTCTGACAGCTAGGCATGATGGGTAATCTGTGATGTTTTGCTCTCTCAAAAGTTGGGCCATTTTGTCCTCATGCGAACGAGACCCCGCCTCCGACGCTGTATCCATGCTCTCGGCTCACTAGAATGAATGGAGAGAGAAAATAAATCTAAATTCGGCTTTTAGTGCATTTTACAACTTTTAGAACCGAATGATTCTAATAAGGGCTATAAAATAGTTCATACTGGGTAGTTTATTTATAAAAAATATCCACCGATTTACAGAGGTCTCTTTCCCCATGTAACAGGGCTGCTAAAGAGGAGTAGTATGAGGCATGGCTTCACAGACATGTTTTGTATAGGTATGGCCCTACAATATATTGTTCCAATATAGCATAATATGTCCACTTTAATGTTTACACGGACAAGTGACTGGCATTTTTAGACAGACAGAAACAGTGTTAACCTATTCTTTGAAGCTCATTGTTGTGAATATTTCAGATGTTGCTATTCTGTCAGCACTCGTGGAAACTTGAACCTTGGAACTCTAGTATCTAAGAGTGTCCTGATAAAGGAGATACATTGATATTTGTGTGACTCTTTTGAATAAAAAGGAGAAAATGCAGTCAGTCCACAAATACTACAACCTCTGCAAAAACAAAATGTACACAACAAATTGCCCAGCTCAACTTACTGGATATGAAAGAAAAAAGTCTCAGACAGAATAAACAAATATAGGTTTTAATTTTATTTACAATACCTTTTACACCCTTCTGCCCTGAAATGACAGTTTTTACACACTAGACTCATTGATTCATACAGATATACAGACCAAGCACAACTCAATCATTACTGTATGTAGTTAAGAGATTGTGCCCATGTACAGACAGCAAGACGATATACAGCCAGTACATGGATTTGTTTTGCTGTGATCAAAATGCTGCATTATCATTGCGTTATATTAATACACCATATCAATATGCAAATGATGAAACACTTCAAGCGTAGTTAGCACCAAAAAAGTATATTTTCCGTGCAATAAAAAGCATAGGTGAAGTTAAGTACAATTTATAAGAAGAACATAAAGGGAGTATTTCTTCATTCTGTACGTACATCTCAGCTCAAGTCTATTCTAATAGATGAGGAGTGAGGTATTGGCGGTTTAAACAAAAAAAACCAGAAACAGGCCTGATCTCCCCCTCCTTTCCTTAAGGCTGTGTGTGTGCACTGTCAAATAAAACATTCATCTGTTTTTTTCTCTAATCAAGTATGTAGAAAGAATGAAGGATATACTGCATCCATAATGTTGTTTACAATAATAGCTATGAGTTATTTACAGACATAAGGATTTAGTGTGGAAAGGAGGAGTAAGTGCTTTCGACAGTCCACTCAAAAGGAAATAAATGAATCATTTCTCTTATACTTAATAATAATAATAATAATAATAATGCATTTTATTTATATAGCGCTTTTCACAACTCGCAGTAGATAATCTACGTGCCCATTAATGACAACCTATAACTCCCAAATGATTTCTGTGGTGAACCTGAAATAGCAATCAGCCAATACTCATTGCTAAGCGATACAATAAAAAGAACACTTTTAAAGTAATGGCTACATGCACAGCAGAAACAGAAAACAGCATTAGGCTTCATCTTTATAAAGTTTAGGACTTTAATTTGCAGCTCTGTTAGAGCCGTAAAGAAAAAATCAAAAGCAAGAGAATTTGAGCACTTGAAGTGATGCAACATATTAGCCAAATAAAAAATATTCACTGTCATGTAAGATTTCCCATTGTTCCACTATTATGAAGACCTCGGCCTGAAAAAACTAAAAACATGGCTGTCTTAATGTTTTGGCAAAACATTCACCTATTTCAATAGAAAGCATACATTACAATTTGTGGACATGCAAGACAAAAGACAGAATATGTCATTTCGTTGGCTGATCCATTCCCAAATTGGTCCACTAAGACTTAAGTTAAGAGGAGCTGAGGCCGGAATCAGACTCTCCGCCGCCAGAACAGACCTTGGAGGAAACGCAGGGAGCCATGGAGCAGGGGATGGAGTAGCAGGAACAGGTGGAGCTGTTGCGTGTCTCCTCTGTTATCACCTCCTGCAGAGTGTGTTGCTCCTCTACCTGAAACATGTTAGGTTGCTCCCCCTTCTCCTCACAGATGCTAAGGGAAAAAGAGGACATTGTTGGTTAGATCTGCTGCATCACAAGTTTCTATACATCATTCAGAGTCAGAGTTCCCCGATCCAAAAATAATTTGGCTAATAGAATGGTATGGCTTGGTGCTAGGGTTGGAATATGTATATATTTATTACAATTATTAAGATTTATTTTAGTCTAATGTTTATACTACACATCATAATATGGCACATATAAAAAAATACTTTTAAGATTATGAAGCTTAACTGTGCTTCAAAGTCATGCATTATATTAGGCAAAACTCTTCACACTAGTATAACTAAACCTTATGGTTACATTTTCTAACAATTTGCCTGGATAAACCATTAAGAGAACAACATTTTGTAAAACAGTAACACTTGGTATAATAATACGATGACATGCCATCTTGATACACTAAAAGTTGCTAAATAATATCAAAATATCGCCCAGCCATTCTGGTCCAGTGGAACAAAATCTATGCAATAACTAAACTATTATTCAGATTCAGACAAGATGCAAAAATGTACAGAATACTTCAGTGTGCTAAACCAAAGCCAATTTTTCATGCACCATTGATCATCAAAACCATTTATTTTGGCAAGGTGGATAATTGCACTGGATGGCAGCAGTTTATTACTTGCAGGTCAAATCACATGTGTGGCCACCATCCTGACAAGTAGTATGGAGAACAAAGGCATTGTTCCAACCCTTTATGGACAAGGCCATTCATTGTTCTAGTAAGCTAAAACCTCTTTGTCCTTGGGCACAGTACATTTAGCACAGCTATGCAGCTTACTTTTATGTGTAGGACAAAGGTCACTCATGAGCTACATGACATTGGATAAGAGTCAGTCAATATTAACAACAGAAGTGGAACTGTAGCTCAGAATGAGAGTACAAAATGTCTCGGAGTGTATCAACCACAACTCTTTACGTGAACATACTCATGTTAATCGATTGGACAAATATCTCAAGTTATTTTTGTTTTTATCCAGTGCAATAATCCCTTTTAACAACCCAAACTGCAGCACAAGCACGTCTTCAAACATTATAGATGCAAATAATTAAATAAATTACAACTGTAACAAATATTCCACGACATCTCACAAAGTTGAAGGGAGGTGGATAGCTGTGGGGTTTAAATGCAGGTCTTAATAATGGATCAACATTATTTTATACTATTGACTTTCATAAGATTTACAAGCTAGTGTGATGCATGGTTACTGCAAGGTGCTTTGGTGCTGTGTGACTATCATACACCAGCTTTAACTAATGAGATTGAAACTAATAAATATCAATCTTAGTTTGGTTCTCATACAGAAGATGATATATGATAACACTACCTCATGCATTAAACAAGCCATTCATTCTGTGTGCCCAACTTGCTTCAAAAATATATCGCTGAGTATCATGCCAAGCTCAAAATAATAAGGCCTTTCTTGGCAAATACAAAACAATACTGGATAGAAAATGATAAACATGGCAGTTGACCCTCCAAACAACCCTGTTTAGTACAATCCAAAAAGATCAAATAATCATTGACTCTGAAACAAAGTATTGTACTAATAGGGTGTTGACGTTAGAAGTCAACCGTCTTGCATCATTGTCAAGGAACATGTTTTGTTCCTGCTGTGTATCAAGCTGAGTAACAGTGGGAGGACAGCCGAAAAACAGCCAGGGGGAGTATAGAGTGAGCAAATAAACAAAGCACAGCCAGGAACCAGAGAGACATTACTGGAATCTGGAGAACTTGAGTCAAAATATGGCACCAAGCATTCACAAATTCTGTAAGAAAGAGGCACAGTTATAACAACAACCTGGAGATCGAGTCAAATGGTTTGACTTTAGACGATAAAATAAGTTACATCTATGTAAGGACTGTTTGGGGTTGTAGGGTTCAAAGCCTGTTTGTACAAGCGCTCAACATATATAAAGCAAATGTATCTGTATAGAGTATCAGAGAACTGATACGATCATCAACAAACTGGACAGACTGGCCCTGCTGACCACACAGGACACCCTTTCACCACTTTAGCAACCTGAGCTTTATGCAACAACATTGGCACGTCTTGTGTACCAGTTTCACATTAATCAACAAAATGTTCAATGATTAACCAAACCACTTTCATCAAAAGCTACAGCAGATGCCAAGTGATTAATGTGTCTGCCAGTGCCTGATGATATAACCCTGAATACTGTACTGAACTGTGCTGATAAGAAAGGCCTTGTAATGGTTCAGTGACATACCAGGAGTCGTATTGTCAATGCAGTATTCCCATTTAGGACATTGTGTACTATTCAGTTGGCTTTCTTTGGTGTTGCATAACAGCTTGAAACATGATCATGTTATCACAACAGGAATGGCAGCAACATGTTCCATCTTGTATTATTAATTTGAATGGACATTGTTGTGCAAACAAAACCTGTTGGAGAATAATTTCAACTGCCATTACTGTGTTGATTTATTTATTTATCTTTGCTTTTTGATGCCTGTTTTTAAATGCCATTTAATAATGTGTTTAAGCTGTATTTATTCTTAAATGTCTTTTGTTTTTATTTTGTAAAGCACTTTGAATTGTTGCGTGCTGAAAGGTGCTATATAAATAAAATTGCCTTGCCTTGCCACACATAACCTACCTATCGTAGATGAGGCCATCGATTCCCTGCTCCCTCAGCTTCCTCCTGGTCTCGTGCTCGTTGTTGTCCTCCCCCCAGCTGAACACCACCAGGCCTTTAGACTGGGCATCCCCAATGTAGGAAAGGTTCTTCAGCAGCTCCTCAGTGTGGGCACTGATTCCCTAGAAAGAGCAAGCAAGGAAATCCACTAAGAAAAAAGGTGGGTTTGTTAAATTATATAAACTTAATCTTAAAATGAACTTCTTCCCTACTCGCTTTTATGCTGGTTTAAGAATGTGTGTTTTACATAGCAAGCAAGCTAATTCAGCCTTATATGAGCAGTCACCTACAAAGTGACCTTAGTAAACTGTCTGGAGGGAGTTTTTGCACTTCCCAGAACCACTTAGGTTTTCTTAAAGACAGCTGACACTGCAATGCTGGCGGACTTATTTTTTATGTGCCGTGACTGACGTGAGAGTATTTTTGTAAGTCCTTGGGCCCAAAGGCATTGCAGCAATGTTTGCTAAGGGAGTGTTCACAACAGACAAAACAAATATTTGTACAAATTCTGCAATTTCTAGATTAAATTGGACACATTCTAACAGTATTTTGCCTACAAAGTACCACAGCTGATGGTGTTTTTGATCGTCACACTGGCGAATTACATCAGGAGTAGTGCTTTCAAAATATAAATTACACCTTGAATTTAGTTATATTTTAAAACAGTTAGTGTGAAACTACCTTCATTACACTCATTAACTGTTTTTATTTGAATTCTAGAAGATTCAGTGGATACTTTATGATAAATAAATGACTTTCTGCATTTCACTGCTCACCATAATATTCTCACTCTGGGCGAAACTTATGGCGATCTGAGTGGTCTGGCAGCGGATGTCCATCATTTCAGGATACTTGTTGGAAATTCCCTGAGTGAGGAAGAGGATGGGGTACTTGTTCTGCTTTTGACGCACCCTGAGGGAAAACCAATGACAAGATGAATCATATTTTGCTTGACGAATGAACTGTAGAGAGTAAAAAATGGTTTTAAAAAGTACAGCCTGATTAAATCTGGGCATACTGTATCCTCAGTTGCTAACCGTGCTTACATGGTGCAGATATCTGGGTCAAAGCAGGAGAAGACAATACGTCTTTTCCCGCCTCTTTGCAGGACACAGGACAGGATGATATCCAGGTAGGTATTCATGTTGAAGTAGGAGGATAGGTTGCCATCCCATGACCCGTCCTGATCAAATCAAATGAGTTTATAATGACGATGTGTTATTATCCCACATTTAAATCTACAATCAAAATATTATTTGAATTACGCTCCATTGGACCTATTGACTTGCTCACCTTCATCTGGCAAATCCATTTAAGCTCAATGTTGAAGCCCACATTCTCAGGAATAGCTTGGAAGATCTGTTAAAAAATGTAAATATGAAGGATGCTATTGATTTGACTAAGACTTTGACATGACAAAAACATAGGCAACAAGTAGAAGTAATTGGTTGTTATTGATAAATATCCAGCTTTTTAATATTCAGGAATCATTCAGTTATGTACCTGTGTGAGTGAAGGGAATGGCTGATGCTCATCAACCTCTTCTTCATCATCCAGCAAATCTGAAGAGACAAATCAAAGAGATCAGTGTGAATGCGCAGAGCAACATTTGATCAAAGCTGAATTTATTGCTGTATTACTATTACAACACAGAAATGACATTTTAATTTAAACATGTTGTCTGTTCCACATTGTTTTCCTGGCAGAAGCTGGTGAGAGGATTCAAATAGTGGGTGCATACCTTTGTCATTGTTTTCTTTTATTGCGGTGGCATGGGCCAGCTGTTTGACAAAACAAAAACATCATCAAATCTATAGCCAACAAAACATTACATTTTCAGAACATTATTTTCAGTTCTCATGGCCTACTGCTTCACAATTCATTGGTATAATAGAGTGAGAACATTCTTAACTCTCATAGCAATTTCTGAATAGTTGCTTCATACATCAGGAAAAGCATTGGTGTAATGTATATCAACATTGTCCACGTCCATCTTAACTTGTGTCTTAGTTGCATAGTTCTGGCCATTATTCAAGATGTTTACCTTCAGAAGCTGCAGCTGATCATAGGTCAAGTCTTTGACTGGCACCTCAATAAGCTCCAGAGAAGTCTTGTCATTTTTCTGTCGAGGAGAGATAGAATGACCTCAGTTATTTGAAGTAATGACATACATTTGTGTATGGGAATATGACAGGCTTTTATTTTACCTTCTTGGTGGAAATGCAGCATGTCAGATCGTGGTATACGATGGGAACAGAATCTTTGGAGAGGTGAACATCAAACTCTACGTAGGCAGCGCCCTGCAAGTACATTATTGACATATAATCTAGGCACAAGCTATGACGTTAAGGTTAAAATGTACTTCTGCTTTAATCATCTGCGTAACTCACATGCTGGGCAGCGCTTTTGAATGAGGCTATGGTGTTCTCCCTAACTCTGTGGTGCCTGAAAAACACATTAGAACACAATGTGTTGACAGATGCAGGGTTTGCTAATGTTCTATTGGCACACACTGTTCGATTGACTCTTTTTTCTTTTTTTTGTTCCAGACAAGGCACTGTATCCCGTCCAGGTCAAAGTGTGTTCTGGTGACTCACTTGGCTGTGTGTGTGCTGCCAGCTCCTCTGTGACCCACATCCAGAGTACTTCTTTTCTTCCAGTACTTGGCGAAGGAGGAGCTCATGTCACAATGCAAACCCTGGATAGGCCGCATCACCAGGTAATCCACTAAAAACAGAGTATCAAATAGGTCAACAAGCTTTTCCACGTGCACCGTGTAAACAATTAAAGTCAGCATATAAATATTTTCAAAAGAGATGAAGCAGTTGCTCACTACCTTTAGCAGCCAGATATCTTACCTCTGACTTTTCCGATGGTCTGTCTGGAATTTCGGCCCATTATGGGAAGTGTGGCTACTCCAAAGTCCTTACCGCTCTCTGCGAAAGAGGAGGAGAGGAGGCAAGCTGTGCCCACAAATCCTGGATGTGCATCTCCCTGGACTACATGCTCACCCATATCCTCCTGTAAACAAATCTCATATTACTAAAATAATAATCAAATGAAAACAGATAAATACTTCTCTAGGGATGGGTATTGTCTGAAATGTATCGATTCCGATTCTACTTATCGATTCCGGTTTTTATCAATTCCCTGTTTCGATTCCAAAATGGTAAAAGGAAGAGGTCAAACGTTTAGATAACAAAAATATCTTTACTCTTTTAAGCTTTAACTGACATTTTTACAAATAAAAAAAATACATGCAATACAAATGTATTACACAATAGCTGTGCTTTATTTTAACTGAGCTATGCCTGTGGCAAGCTATTAACTTGCCACAGGCATTACACTGTGCCTTGTCTTTTTTAGTGTAGTGGAGCCTCACTTTAGAGCGGTTACCGCGATCCATCTTTGGTGTTATGAAGTGACTGAGCTTGTGAACTGTCTACGGGAGGGCGGGGGGAGCCTCGCTGCGGGGAAACTGTGGACCTCTGTCGCCTGTGAGCGCAACTTACATGATGCCGTTTAAAAAAATCAAGGGCGGTGCCGGCCGTCAGCAAACCGAGCCGGCCGTCCCTGTATTCCACCGGGTGACCCCAGCGCAGACGGACCCGGTGGAATACAGGGTCTACCGCGTTTGGGAACCGTTAAGCAAAACCGAAATTGTGTATTTTGTATGGGTACCCGGTTCCCAGCATTTTCTTATTGGTTCTCATCTGGAACCAAGTTTTCGGTTCCCAACCCTATCCTTCTATAATACTTGATATGTTAGGTCAGGAATACCTATTTTACTAGTTTATCATGAGCAGTTTTACCTCAAAGAACTCAAAGGTGAGCTCCAGGTTGTAGGGGTCCATTGTGTGGATGTTGTACTCGGTCCACTGGGAGGGCTCCAGTGCATTACCACATTCAGGCTGCGAGTGGCGGGACTTATAGCCGTTGGCACTAATCATGCTGATCTCCAGAGTGGTGGTCTCCCTGAGCAAAGAGGCAGGACTAAGCTGGCCTTCTTCCTCCTCCTCCTCATCTTCATACTCCTCCTCAAACCCCTCTAACGTCAGCTTGATTCTGTATTGGTAGGGAAAATAAACAACAAGGTAAATACACAGATATGGGGATGATGAAAGAAGCATATACTTAAAGAAATGAATGCATCAAAACATTAAAAGATAAGGTGTTAACAAGTGAGGTTGTACTCTCAGCCTCCCTCATATGCAGAGTTTCTGTTGCACTTTAGAAAAAGGTTGGCTAATAGTAGCTCTGTAATGACCTTCTGCTCCGTCTCATTTCACTTTCAAGGAAAACTTTCTCTGCGGAGTATTACATTCGACCTCAGTGTCACATGTACCTGAAGCGTGACTTCTTGAATTTCTTCTTGGTAATTGATACCGGAGAAGTCTTAGAATAGTGCAAGCGCAGGCGAATCTCGGTCTGGCACGTGAGCCAGCCAGAGTCTACACAATTCACCCCGTCTATAAAAAGAAAGACACAACATAAATGTACTTTGACTGTGGAACAAAGAACTGGTGGCAGCTCTCTAAGAAAATAAAGACTTTTAAACCTCTGCTGTGGGATTAAAGGGATACTTTACTAACTAAACGATCATTATATATCAAATTATCACTCAGTGCAACCTTGAATTATTGAAGAAAAACACATTTGATTCTTTGTTCACCTTTGAGGCATGCATGAAAAACCACGTTTTCTCTAAGAATTCAAGGAAACACTGGATAAGTGATAAATATTCAAATGGTCAATTAGCGGGTTTAGTGATCCTTTAAGGACATTGGTTAGCAACTTAGTTCAATTGTACTTTTGTCTCCATAGGATTTTACATGCTGAACTATTGATAGTTCTTATGTTTGTAGTGAGTAGTTTTAGTTATTTTAAATCAAACTTACTGTGAATTCCAAACTGTCCATCGTCAATATTCTGGTGGGATCCTGCAATAAATGGAAAGCCCATTATAAACTGGATAAAAGAATCTCAGCGGTACACAAAGGTTGAGGCCAGATCAAACCAGAGCATTTCCTGTGTACAAACAGGCAATTCTGTTTGATCTCTCAAAACAACAGCCTTCATTGCTCTGAATTTGATTAGTCTCAACCTTAAGTTTCAACTAAGCAATAAAATGTATTTGATTCCAAAATATATTTTAACTTAGACTCTGAGCATGAGCCTGTCAGTAAGGCTGGTTTAGCAGGATGTTTATTAAAAAAGTCAGATTTCAAACAAAACATGTCTGGGTTAAATATCAAAAATTAAAGTTTGTAAAAAAAAAATTTTTCTAGGGGAATAAGTGCTTTAGTGGCTAGATGAAAGAAAGAAAATGATTGGGTGACGGGCTTGGTGCAGGCAATTATTCTAGCCAACCAGCTCATTTTAACAAAATGAACTTTGCCAGTGTTAGTCCAAAACAATGTTGATTTAACTAGAGACGTGTACAATATCAGTTCATGACATATGCTGCATTGCAGAGTTTACTCTATGGCTCTAGATTATTCCAGCAAGTGCTGTCCCGCTCTTTTTGCCAAAACATAAACACTGCAATCAGGTGGTAGTTTGTTAATTTAGAGATACACATTGCCCAAAACGATAAATTAAAGGTCAGATTAGACTTTCCCTCAAATACTAACCTTGTTTCTTCAGTGGTTAAACAGCTGACCCTATGTAAGTATTGATGGGCAACTGTATCATATAGTGCTAGGACAGGGAATGGGAGGTGTGTAGGGGGCATGGCACACTTCACCCAACCCAACCACACCGTGCACCGTTTTTCGTTGTTCTATACCTGTGGGGCTCATCGTGCGCGGGTGTTGATGGGTCTCCCACATATTGACTATCACTTGATAGGGACCACCTGCACTCTGCAATTTCAATGTTTGGTACAGTGTTAGGGTTTTCAAATCAGATACATTGATCTAGCTTTCAGTCTGGTGTCAGCGCAGCAGCTTGTTGGACTAGGGTGTCAGAAAGGAGTTAGAGCTGGTATAGTCACCAATCTCCCGCTGGGGCAGTCAGCTACCATCTGTTGAATCTGAAAAGTGAATTTGTTAGTGAAAAAAAAAAAAAAGGTCTTCAGTTAGGCTGCTCTCTATCTGTAACAAAGTCATCATCAATTTCAGCAGCAAAAGGTTAGCATCTCATTTTTTTATTTTATAAAATCATTAAAGACAATATCACATGGAAGAAACAATAGCCCAACACTGATCAAGTGTACACTAAATGCATCGCTGATGAGACTAACTGCAGTTTCATATGCAATATTTAAACTGCATGAGTAACTGGCCAATGTTAATTTAATTAACCGTTCATCAACTGTTGAAAGCCAATGACAAGCTTTAGCTTGCAGAAACTTTAAGCCTATCAGTTTACAGAGAGGCATCCCACAAACAAATACTTGAGGAAGTCAAACAAAGCAGGCTTTGAGTCTCACAATATGTGAGCCCCACCCATTACATAACAAATAATAATCCCCTTATAATAATTTGAGGTAATAGCTGAATTATATATATATACATATACCTATACATATACAGGTAAATGTCTGACCAGCAATTTTGCTATCCATCTTTCTTCGGGATTTTCTGGTGCACCCCCTTTGGTTTCCTAAGAAACCTGTAGCACCGCTTATCTACAACTGTTCCTTTTTAGTCCCGCCATTGGTCATGGCTCGGTTATACCTTTTCCCCCTTTGTTCTCGGGCAGTCCCCTCCTCGCGGGGCCCCCCCTCATACAACCAGCCCAGCAACCC